GTAGCTTCAGGAAAAATTCCTTTTCGACCTGCGCATTCGATGTCAAAACTTAAAATACGTAAGGGAGCTATTTTTGAACTACAAAGAATATCTTGATGTAAACTGCCTTGACATCTTTGGCATTGAGTCCATAACCGAGAAAAATGAACTTCGAGCTTATTTACAGCATCAAGCTATCAATTTGTATAGTAATTAAGCAAATGATTACAATTAATAATGTTTTTCAATATTAAACTAACTATGAAAACGTTACCTGTCGCTGATATAATTCACCCAATTTCGGTTTACAATGCCGACATACTGCTGTGTCTATAATTATTAAAAGTGTAAGATGATTTAAATGTTATTTTATCTTATCATTAAATATTGTAACCATACCATGCTTTGATAAAGGAGTTTTACACCCTAAACAAGTAGCCGTTTTTACGGTAAATTTCATCAACCCGCCTATCGTTGGTGTCGCAATCTGAACAACACGAGTGTGATCACCAGCAACTTGATAAATATAGAAAGATTATTTATAGCTCATTAATTAAGTTACATAAATTATAGTATAAAATTGGTACTCACGTAAGGAATGAGCTTTTTCTCCAAGAACCGGTTCGAAAATTCGTAATAACGGTTTAGATAATTGATTCTCCAAATAATAATTAGTATCAATAGGAATATTATTCTCAAGAACATATATCGGATCTTCGGACTTTTCGTAAGCAGCAGCACCTAAATTTATTAAACAATATTTTTAATATAGAATAATTTAATTATTAATAATATTAATAATAAAGATATAGATACCTTTAGTACTTTTTACGATAACGTACGCGACTCGATCGCCGAGTGTTGGTGCGGAACCTTTTTTATTATTATTATGATTATTATTATTAAGCATCGTTTAGAAAAAGAATAAGTATATTAATTATTGTATGTTTTTAATTACCAGCATCCCTTTTACGCATACGTTCTGCCAATTCGACGTGTGGCTGTTTGGCTGAATAATCTGTATATGAAGTATCAATCAATGAATGAACATAAATTCTAATATGTGAATCAAAAAATTTGCTATCATTGACATCAACCTGATTTACTTAAAGCCTTTGTGATAACCAATTGTGACATATCAATTTTATTCTGAAGCAAGTCTGAAATTGTTTTCTTAACGTATCTGAGAAAAATTTAAACAAATATCAATAATAGTAGAAATATATAGAATAAATAATAACAAATATTTACTCCTCAGCACCAGCGACGTCACGATCAATTAACATTTTTCGTAAACTTGTTTCTATTACATTTTGTACAAGAAGACAATTATCTCGCCTGACAGTCTATCTCCAAAACATAATAAAATTTTAGTAATTTAAACCTGTATTCAATAAATTTTTTGGCATCAAGTACTTACCTCAATACCTTTAGTATCTAATTTATCCCATTTTTCTGGATTTGTCCAATATAGACCGGCATAACGCTTTTTATTTATTAATAGATATGGAAAGTAAACCTTTTCGAACTCCAATTTAATTGGTTTAACAAATTTCTCTGTAACATAGTCTGAAGCTTCCTTTCCTATAAAATATGTTAAATAATGAGTTCCACAGTTCTTATTTATAACGAAATAGATGAGTCAAATAAATTCACCTAAAGCCATGGCGTCAACTAAATTATCCACACCAAATTTCACCATAACAGAATCCGTATCCCCATAAATTATATGAGCATCGTGTTGGTACCCATTGGCAATTGTATATTGATTTTCTACTTCCTAAAAATAGTAAATGGTAAATTAACTTTTTTTATATGATAGACACTAACATCCTAAATATTAACCTGTTTCGTCTTTTCGATCATTTGACGCCCATAAGCTGTGACACTTGCCGAAATTTCGATGCAAGGAAGTTTGCCAACAGTTGCACCAGTAAACCCGTATACAGAATTCGCACTGACCTAAAAATGCATGCAAAAGAAATACTTTATAATCATGCTTTTAATTAAGTATATTAGTAATAAAAAAAAAAATGAAACCTTAAGAGCTAATTGACGTCCATCAAGAACCGCCTTTTTAAAAGGATCTGTCTCTTTTTTTAAGTCTGCCTTGGCCTTCTTACGTGCAGAGAGTAGATCTTCCAAGATTGTAGGTAAAAGCCCTTTTCTATGATGAACCTTCACAAATTTTGCTAAAATAATCAAGGAATATATAAAATTGAATAAGATATCAAAAATTCCTAATAATAATATTATTGAATGTTTACCATTGTTGTATGGTGTCATAGTGTAATCAACATCACTCTTAAAACCCAAATTTTCTATGTCCCTGTTATCCAATAACGTCGTATAACAAAGATTATGAGCAATCATAATGGAAGGATATAAAGAGCTAAAATCAAGTGTGGCAATTGGAACATTGTAAAATCCTCTTTCTGGTTCAATGACGGTTGCTCCTTCATATTGATCATCAGATCCTAAATTATTACAGCATTAATTAATAAATGTTAAATTGGATAATTAAATTTATATTTATGAATAAACAATCCATACCCTCCGATTTTAAAGCTGGAATAACTAAATCTTGCTCGAATGCTTTTCTGTATAATTGTGATATTACTTTAATTTGCTGTCCACGAACAAGAAGATAATTAAAAGGGACCCCTGTAACGCGAGCCATTTCCATATAATTGATAAGGCACATGAGTTTGTCCATTAATCTTTGTGGTAGGATTGCATCCTAGTAAAGGTTAAAGTTACTTTAAATTATTATTTAAATTAACAGGAGAATTATAATACGAACCTTCAAGCAATAAATGGCTAATCGTCGCCGCGTCTCACTATTTGCATTATGTAAATCAGTAATGATAGAATGATGAACTTCTTCTTTTTGTTCGCCTTTAAATTCAACGTTAATTTAACATTTATAATCAAACAATAAATCACAAAAGGAAAGTATTATAAACTTTTACCTAGAAAATGTGCACAAACAGAATTAAGAGTATATGATCTTAACTTATAATCACGTTGCATAACTTGCAACATATCAAGCTGAAGTCTTCCTTCAAGATGTAAATTTTAGTTAAGGATTAAGTGTTATCGAATAATGATTTACATATATGACTAATGATTTATGTAATAAAGGATATTAATAAATTTATTTTCACGTGATCCATACGCTTTTGAGGAAAATTTGGTATCTTTAGCATCTGTCTTTATATCTTCAAAATAAATTAATCATATTATATTAGTTAATATCTTTTTTATATATTCAAATTAGTTAAAGAAATTATGACAAAATTACTTTTCATACGGCCAAAGTATGGAAATTCTTTTACTTTCAAATGCTGAGCGCGTTCGAGTAAGTACGGAAAATCGAAGTTTACGATATTGTATCCTATGATAACATCAGGATCTACCTATTATACCAGTCAATTAAAATTAATATTAAAGTTATAGAAACAATTAAATGTCAAAATACTTGCCTCATTTACAAAATCTCTCCAAGCTTGTAACATCTCCCCTTGATCGTAAAATTCAATAACATCAGTTGCAACAATTGGGGCGCAGGAGTTTAGAGTGAAAACATTTCTGATAAATGGATTTTTTTCGCCTATAAAGTGAAATTACAAGAGTAAAATTATTATATAAGTTTAATTATCTTATCATGTATGAAAACATTTAAATTGTATTTGTAATTGAGTTCGGACCTTGTATCGTAACGGTATTGGCAATTTGAATAACCGGATCTTTTGTAGCTTCAGGAAAAATTCCTTTTCGACCTGCGCATTCGATGTCAAAACTTAAAATACGTAAGGGAGCTATTTTTGACCATTCGTTTTCAGGAGGATAACTAATAAATCGATCATATCTAAACAATATATAAGAGTTATTTTATGTATTTCAATTATTATGTAATTAAAATAAGTGTATTACTTGATTTCTATTTCCAATTGACAAGTGGATGTCTTCTGAGAACTATTACGCAAATAATAACTTTTTGGTGGTAGTTCTATCCAATTTGCTCCGGTAACCTAATTAGAACAATCTATGAGAAATTAAATAATAATTGGCAAAAATATAATATGCAATAAAAACCTTGCAATCGATCATAAATCGTAGAACATAATTGATATTGCTTTCAAATGTCAATTCTCGAAGTTGACGATCATTATATTTAATAGCTCCATCGTCAATTAAACGTACAAAGTGGTCAAGGATTATGCAAGGCATTTAGTTAAAATTGAAAACAAAGACACAAAGGATATGTCTAGCAGAATTTAAAGCCTTCGTTTCACTAAAAATAATCTTGAGATAAGGACTCTTCTTATTTCCATGATAGCCCCATATGCTCTCTTTAAGGGTAAGTTCAATCCTTTCGATTGGTTTATTCAAGCCGTTATCCAAATTTATAGCGCGCTAAAAAATAATCGCTATCCAAGCTGAGAATAACTATTTAGAATCCAAAGAATTTTATTATATAATTACCTCGATCTGTTTCTGTAGGGTAGCCATATCAATTTCTCTGAAACCAATTGGCGCCGGAATGTAAAAATATGGACGAAACCCCGTGACATAACAAAGAACACTATTGCCAGTCTACAAGGAAGTATTACCCGTTATTAACAATAGCGAATATAGCAAAGAAACTTTATTTATGTACCTCTGTTATGCCAAACATGCGAATTAATGGCTCTCTTGATTTTGGTTCAACACAATCGTCTACTTCAATTTGTTGAAATACTAAAAAGTCGCACAGAATAAGTACCAATTGCCAAGTAACAGACTAGAATATTATTATTTGCTTACTAATGGAATCCTGATTAGGATTGACCTTTTGCACATTTGGTCGCTCCCAAATTTGGTGACGTCTTTCATCTTTAATTTTCACATAGTCAGTATTAATAAAAGTGCAGACTTTTTTTTCGCATATTAATATTACTTCACCTGCATTAGTGCTTTCTTGTAATTCATTTTCTTGCAATAAAGCCAATTGTTCTTCAAAAGAAGGAACTGCATTTGTGGATAAACTTGCGTGTTGTCTTCTTTTATTGAATTTAGTCAAGTTTTCGGCCATAATTTCAATTCTTCGTACGTACGGTTGTAAATTATTTTATTTATGAAAAGAGCAAAGACGCGACTGTTTTAAGTGTAACATGTAAAGGTTATGGTTGGACAAATTATCGCTTTATATAATTTTAGCAAGAATTAACAAAATTTATAATATTCAAATAGGACCCCGGAAACTTATATGATGTCCCAGGCAAAATCGAAAATTACTATGTATTTTACCCATAGAGAATTTAAAATTTACCCTTGTATAAACACGGACCTATTTATTCACTTTTACAAAAAAACACATTATTCTTCATCTAAACTAGTGTGATTTGATTACGAAAAATAGAAATAAATTGTGCTTGAGAACTGGAATTACTCGAATTATATCCAATATAAGCATAGAATTATTATGAAATGTAATAGAACTCTTTCCAGGGGTTATATGCGCAAATAATTTTCCACTGGCAAGACAATCATTTGTAAAAAATGACCACTATAAATATCGATAAACAATGTAACTGAAATATATGATAATAAGTCAATATTATCTACCAATACTTTCATACGTAGATAATACTCTTCTTAAGCATAATTTTGATCGGACAAAATAATTAAAAATCCATCTACTTCTAAAGGATTATTTTGTGAAATATTAGCACAACCGATATCTAAATAAATTTAAAATATATCTGTGAAATTTGAATCAATTTTGTTTTAAATTGTAAAATTTTTACCTTTTAATTCAGATTGGTTTGTTAAATTGAAAATATCTCCTATTCTTTTTCTTCCTAGCCACCGTTTGTTCCTATTATGAATTATTTGATTGCCAGAATCATTACTATTTAAATGTTATTAAATGATTTGCGGATGGATTGAATCGATCAACTATAGCTAAAAATAGTCAACTATAATCAATCAATTGGCATAATTATATTACATAACTAAGGCTCCATCAAGCAATGCCCAGAGAAAAATTCCCCGAGCGCCATTTAGATCTCTATTAATCTGAAGTCCACACCAATCACACCTAAATACTTTATTTTCATCCAAATTCCTCTTAATATATCCGTAATGACTGCATGTTTTACTTGTATATGCTTCAGATACAGATGTTATTATGGTTTTACCAAATTCTTCTGCTTTAGATAACAATTGATTCCTAAACCTAGCATGCGCTCAGCTCATCATCTTTCAAACTGTTTTACTATTAATTTTTCTTTTTTGCTTACAAGACATCTGTGTGCTATTAAATTTAGGTAACACAATTATATCAAAAGTCTTAGTCAACCACAATGCAGTTTTTTTATGCATTTCATCCACTAAATTTTAAATATATCTTCTTATGCGTGCTTGAGCACGTTTAATAAAGTTACACTTTTTTGCTAATGCTCTGGTGGTGCGTAAGATAAGGGCATCAAGAGCCAAGCATAAGCAAAAAACACAATTGATATTATTGTCTCTGATGTTTTCATAACTATAGAAGAATATCATATAAGAAAGGTATGAGCTCTAGAATCAATAGCTGCAATGTGAATTTCTTCTATTTAATTCTCATGGATAGACCTTCTATATACTTATACGAATGTCTAATATTCTAGTTTCCTCTCATATATTAGTTTTGAGTCTATTTTAACTTCACTAATCTCATTTGGTCAACTATGATTGCGTTTTTGATATTTATGATAAAATGGTAGCTTCATTTTGTGTTGTGGATAATTAGGATTGATAGTAAGAAGTTTCTTATTATGTAGGTGTCTAATATTAAAATGAAGTGCTTCGTGATAGTATTGAACACAGATGATAATTGACTGATGATCTTTTTCTTAAATCTAAAATGAAGAACATGATGTTAATGTTAATTTTCCTTATTCCTTTTGATAATTTTATCTTTTGCTTATATAGCGTCTGAAATAGTATGATTCAATACTTCATATAGAATCTTATCCATAAAAATCTATTCCTTTGTATGTTTATTCTTTATCAGAGAAGCATCCTAAAGAAAATTGCCTTGTAGTCCTATAACTCAAATAATAATTGTTTACTATCATATTGTAAACTAAGCTAACATAAACTATTTACTATCAAAGCAAAGTCTTCTAAGAGGAATTGGGATATATTCATATTTTTAGTGATTATGTCAAGTCTGCCTTTTTTATTCTTTTGACTTGTTGTATTGTTTTCTTCTTATATTTTTTATTTTTTGTCTTATTTTCATTCTCATCTGTATCTAAATAAATCAAGTCAATTAGAATTCATTTGCTTAATCACTTATTACAAAAATAAAGTTAAAGTTAAATATTTATATAAAAAAATAAAATATTTACCTAGCAGAATGCTTTTCTTATAATCAGTAAATGAAGATTATATTAATAGTGAGAATATCCTGAAATAGTTCTTATTTGTCTAGTGGGTTATCTTCTGAGAAAACTATGATCTTTGTACTATTAAACTTGAAGACAAACTCAAGGTCAAAAATGAACTGATATAATTTATCTTTGTAGGCAATAATAACTTCTTTGACCAGTCTGTGACTTGAATTATTCTAGTAGAGAATACAATCTGAATCTCTTGAAATTAATATTAGATCTGATGTCTAAAATAAGACAGTAGTTTGAAAACTGTAAGAGGAAGTATTATTTCTATCTTTTAAGATTTTCTTTTTGTTTTGAGCTTAAGACTCTTGCATAAACAAAAAATTCACATTAGAATTCTAAGAAGAAAGTATTAGTAAAGGTGATAACAATAGTGAAATTTATAATATTTGAGATATTATAAAGTTACACATCATCTGGTGAATGAAATACTATTTCAGACGCTATATAAGCAAAAGATAAAATTATCAA